AGACACGCACATATAGAGGAGCCACTGGAGTCTAAACTCAACACTCGCTGTCGACAGAAAAAGAGAATACAATGAGATGTCATAGGTTTTGTAAGTTCAAAAGAAAAGCCTACTCAACCCTTTGTTGCAAATCCTCAGGGAGAGAAAAGGGATCTTGGTTCAGGGTTAGCTGATGTTCTGGCAGGTGTCTGTATATGATTCTTACCTTTGCTTTTGCTGCTCTGTACCTGAAACTCCCTCCTCCCTCTTACTGAGTTCCCAGCTTAGAGTCAACTCTCCTCCCTGAAGTTTTCCCTGACACCTCAGGAAAAATTAATTTATCTTGCATTCCTAGAGTATTACATGTATATTTCTATTCCCACACTTGTCACATTGTATTACAGTTATTTGTTTACCTGCCTGTCTTCTTTCCCAGCTTGACTGTGAATGTCCTAAAATCAAAGGCTTTACTTTCCATCTTTATGTAATAAATGTTGAGAATGCCTGCATATGGTAAGTGCTTTACAAATACTTATGGAACTAATCAGAAACAATTGATTAGGCTCTTAGACTAGTTCAAAATCCTGCTTAACTTATAATGTAATTGTAATAGATATACAAGTAATGAATGGTAGAAAGTAATAATGTGGAACCATATCACATTCAAAGTACTGTGAAATTTGTTTAAACACACAGGGTTAATAAGAACATTAAATACATAATGCCCACATTTCTCAACAGGCACTCAGTGGTCCATTCATCTTGTGCATGGGACAGAAGAGTGGCTGGAGGTGGGGCTGGGAAGACTGGCTGGAGCTGACTACGAGAAGCTGTGTGTGCTATGGGAGGTATTTGGACTTCACACTGTGGTGTTGTAGAGTCAAAGGAGTCCTCCAAGCAGGAAATGACAAAATCACATTAGTCATTTTGAAAAGGACCAGTTGATTTAAAAAGAAGCATTGCTAAGGGCATTGGCAACTGAATAATGTTTATGGTGGGATCCTAGATTGAAAATTGAGAATGGCTATTGCTGTTATTTGTTGATTTGGTTCTTCTGAGGCTTCTGTATCCTTATAATAAAATCCAAATCCCCCTTTACATGAGCTATTTTAAGTACATTTCTCTTCCCTACAACCAGATGTGCCATAATACAAAAAATAAAATAAATTCTAGGGCTGAGATTAAGCTTGAGAGACTAAAGCCATGAATAACCACTGATATACCCCCAAAAGTGTATAATTCTACACACCCTTTTATTCTTAAAAGCAGAGGACAAAGCCTGTACCATATAGAGGGGACAGATAGAGCAAGAAAAACAAAAGTGGTAAACTAGCTGCTATCATGTAAACTTTCTCTCAAATCTTCTTAAATTAATATTTTCATTTGTATATGAATGAATACATTAGTATGAATATATGTATATGAAAAATATACTAGAATATGCAAAATATAACAGAATGTTACCTCAGAAAAAAAAGAAGGCAGAGGATATGGAATTGCATCATGAAGTTTCATGACATACACAGAAAGCAAACAATTTAAAATCTATTCTAATAATACTAAAATGCACATATGAAACATAAACATTGTATAATTCTTTTCAGGAAATGCTAAATAGATGCCTAAATTTTTATTTTCTTCAGTAGTTTTCACTGTTTTAAATCACCAATTGAAAGGCCTCTTTAAACCCATGTATTATTTTAATCAAGTAAAATAGCTTTTTGAGTTATATTCAAATCCCTGTATATAAGTAGTTAAATCAGTCTTCATTTTCTGAAAATACTTGGTAAGGTGAATTTGGTGTGTGATTCATTTTCCTCTTCTCTCTGACTCAGTTTTGCCACATGAGCATTACTTTTTATGGGCATTTCCATATTCAGGCTAATAGTGCAGCTTCCTTTCCCTTATAAGGGGGCTTAGATTCAGTGGAATAATACTAGGCAGGGTCTGCATTTAAAATTAGGATCTGAATATGGGAGTCTAAGCTGATGAGGTGTGACCCTCTGAGGGAAAGGTCTGGGTGCTTTCCTGCTCACTGACCCAGGACCGACTTTCCCCAGGATGGCTTCCAACTGACTCTCATGTGGAGGAGAGAAAAGCCAGGTGAGGGGGATCTGGCCTTCCCTTCTCAGCATCTGTGACAGAAGAAATAATTGGAAATCAATAATTAAATGACTGGTCCAGGATCAGAAACAAGGAGTCCAGGCTGGCTCAGAGAACAGAAACAGCAAAACAATAACCATATAAGAACAAGACAGAGCTCTGGCTGGTGTGGCTCAGTGGATTGAGTGCCAGCCTGCGAAGGGTTTCAGGGCCAGGTCCCCAGTAGTGGGTGAATGAAAGGCAACCACACAATGATGTTTCTCTCCCTCTCTTTCTCCTTCCCTTCCCCTCTCTAAAAAATAAAAAAAAATCTTTTTCTTTTTTAAAAAGAACAAGATAGAATGGTCTAGTGGTTAACCTCACAGGTACTGAAATCAGGGTACTGGGATTCAAACTTCAGCCTGCCATTTATGTACTGAGTTTCCTAACCTCTCCGAGTCCTAATTTCCCATCTGAATAGACACATGGTAATAACAGTACCTCCCTCATGATACTGCTTTGAGGACTAAACGTGATAACTGCTGTAAAATGATTTGATTCTAGCTCATGTGTGACAAATGCTTTATATCAGTGAAGTAAAACTCACCACCCTGGAGGAGAGACATGCAATGAAGGGACAAGGCCTGGGGCAGTAGCATGGAAGGGGATATGGGATAGATATAGGCTGCATCTCATACCGCCTTGTTCTCTACCTTCGCCTGTCACAGAAGTAACTTGTGCTCTTCTGGGCAGGTGCACCAAAATGTAATAAAAACAAGAGATTTGGAGACTCCTCAGAAAGCAAAGAACAGCTGTGCCTTTCTCCTCTGCTCAGCTTATTTTTGTTCCTTGTGAAGGCCATGCTAGCTACTGAGATTAAAACACCCCTCTCTCTCCCCTCCTCCCCAAAAAACCCACTCTCCAGTGAACCAAGAGATTTAGTGGCAGCAGTATCAGTGACAGCATATCTGGCTGTCTGGCTCCTGTGTGCTGGAGTCTCTCCATCCCCGCCCATCCCCATCCTAGCTCTGGCTTCCCAGTCAGACTTCTCTGCATAGCAGCAGAGGGTGTGCTCAGCAGCTCTGCCCAATGACAGATGGACCTGCAGCAGCCCCTGATGAGGAGGCCAAGTTGTGATTCAGACTTCAGAGCACATTTGGAGGGTATCACTTCTCGGCTGACAGTAACAGTATCAGTTTTGGATTTTGTTAGTGATGGGCACTCTGAGGTCACTTTACAGATTAGTAAAATTCTCTTGTCTACATAACTCTCTTCCTATTACCCTGTATATTTACCCTATTCTCCCCTCTTATCCATCTCCTTATTTGGTCTTATAAATAACTGCAGATTTCAATGTATTTGGACATAAAGTCCTCTCTGTAATATGGGGACAATAAAGCTTAATTGTGGACTCCTTTGGGAAGGTTCTACTTAATAATAGATGAGGCCACTCAAAGGAAGCACCTTAGCATGGCTCATCAGCTGGACTATACATTCTATAGACATTTCATTCAACCCTCTGTTTCCCAGATTCAGGGGGCGATCAGACATTATTTCCAGAGCCTGGGATCCTGAACCAGGATCATGTCTGGTGCCTCTCATTGCCCTATTACATCCAGGTGATCTTGTCTACATGCATATCAATTCTGAAAAGCACATAGACCTGTTGTTGATTGCAATCAAGGCATTTATAACATAAGTACCAGACCAGAGCACTAGGGTTTGACAGGGGTGGCCCAGAGACTGCTGTGAGTGAGTATAGAGAGAAGCAAGTTGGAGCCTTTGAGCCTCCTGCCCCAAATCAACACTGCGTTATGAGTTTTGTATATTTGGTTTTGTGCTGGACATTCTCTGTTTGCTTGTTTAAATGCATTCTCTGGCCTTCTCCATCTTGCTCTTTGTTTCCAGGCAGAAGTTGATTTCTGTGGACTGTATCTTTTGGCTTTCCTTGCCCTCTACCTTTACGCTGGGTTCAGGAGGTTGAGGGCAGGAGACAGAAGCAGAAGTGTTTATCCCCCAACTCCTTCCCTTCTCAGCTGTGGTTTGGTAATGGCTACATTCCTTTGCCAAAGTCCACAGTTTCCATCTGATGGTCTCCTCTTATAGCCATAGTTCTTGCCTGCTTCTGGTAACCACTCTGCGCACTCTCTTGCCCCTTCAGGTCTAGAGGTGGCCATGTCATCCCACTGTGGCTAGCCCAGTGGTACTTTTATTTCCTTTGCAAGTTTCCCTTTACCCTCCCCAACATTTTTGAATACTCCTTTCATTAAACCCTCTTCACTCACTCTTTCTGGAGTTTTCCATCTGTGGTTGAATCTTCCATGCTAGGACTGTGACTGGTTCAGTGTTCTATTGTAAGATTTTGTTTAGTAAAGGAGTCTACCACTAAATAAAACTGCAACAGTAGACAAATCAGAAGCATTATAAAAACAAATGCACATACTTTGTGATTGTGAATAGCCAAGACGGCTGAAGCAATACCTTTAAAAAACCATTAACTTAGATAATTTTTAGCATAAATTTTAAAGTTTCTATTGACGGATACATAAATTCAGTACTAAATTTAGTTACTAAATAGAGGATAAAATGTTTAGATAGACTTGAATCTAGACTCTGACACTATCTGTGTGATTTTGAGTAAGTTATTTAACCTCTCTAAGCCTCAGTTTCCTCCTTTGTAAAATAAAGTACAGTTGACCAACAACATGAGTTTGAACTGCATGTGTCGCCTTATATACAAATTATTTTCACTAAATACTATAAGTGTAATTTCCTTACGATTTTCTTAATAACATTTTCTTGTCTCTAATTTGCTTGATTGTAAGAATGTAGTATATGCATTGTCATGAGTGCCTCTGTTTCCCTCCGTGAACGAGTGAGCTGTTGGCTCATGGCGACTTGGCACGTTGTGCCAACTGTCATTGTGTCAGTGCATTACAATGCCATCTCAAAACAACCTGGCTACCGGAATCCCAAGTAATAAAGTGAAATATTCAAGGCCTGCTAGCATGGATGATGGTTACATTGACCTTCAGTTTCAGAAAAGTCCTCCTAAGATCCCACATAAGGCCATTTTGCTTGCTACAGTGCTGTTTTTGATTGGCACCTTTTTCTGTACCATAGGCTCCCTTCTGCTGGCGGGATATATCAGCCAGGGGGGCAGGGAAGCGGGGGCAGACCCGTGCTCCTGTCCTCATCATGGCATCCTAGTATTCCCGCCGGGATTTTCTCACCTTCGCATCACCTGCTATGCATCCAAAGGCTACTTGGGTTACTCCTGAGATGACATTCCAGGCTTTGACAACTAGCACCCACCTCAGCCCTGAGGAGCAGTCAGATCGGACTGAGCTCAGCTTTAAGATTTTGAGCAGAAACTATGGCTAAGGGCCAAGGAATCCTGTGTTTTGCAGATGTTTAACAAAATAATGGCCAAGTTTTATGGGTCCATCATACTAAAGACATTAACTAAGCTTACAATTAGCTAATTAGGGCACACTCTGTTTTTCATCTCCTGGCCCTGACTAAAAGCTGACAAATTTTTCTAAGTGAACTTGTATCATGGAAGAATAGCAATGTTAATTGTGAAAAGTGGGTGGTCTATTCTGTAGTGGAAAGTGTTGCTGCTGCCATCCTTTTTAGAGGTGAACATTTAAAAAATAGTCTGTTGTCAGTTTGTTCTTGTGACAAATGGAAGAATTCAGTATGTCAAATTTGTTATTACTAAGTAATTTATTTTGAAAATATCTAAGTGTCTTATCCTCTATGCTGTAACTTCATATTCTAGTGAAAGACCTTGGCAAAATCAAATATTAGTGTAAATGCATCTGAAATATTTTTACATGCTGTCTTATTAAGAGCAACCAGGAATTTTTAAACCTCAGAGCAAGTTTTGAAAATGTAAACACTTTCTCTGTTCACCGCTCCTCAGCCAGTTCTGATCTGGTTCACCAAATAGGTTGGGTACCATATAATTTGGGTAATTCTATCCTTTATAGATTAAGATGTTCTGCTGAGTGAAAAAGAGATTAAGCAAAGAAAAAAAAAACTCATAGACACAGACAACAGTATGGTGATTACCAGAGGGAAGAGGGGTTACAGGTGGTAGAAAAGGGTATGGGGGGATAAAGGCTGATAGAAGGAGACTTGACTTTGGTTGGTGAACACAATATACAGATGATGTACTATAGGACTGTGCACCTGAAATATATATAAATTTGTTAGCCAATGTCACACCAATAAATTCAATAAAATTTAAAAAAATTTTAAAAAGGTGCTCAGTATATCATGCCTTTAAACACTGGACTAAGGGGAACATGTAGATGAGTGGTTGTTATTTAGAGTTTATAATCCCATTATTAACACCTTCTGTTACGATGTCATTCTGCTGAAGTTTACAAGATTTGGCTTGGATCCCCAGGGGACCAGACGGCTTTAGTTTAGTTACATTTCCTAGCTTGCAAAAAGTGATTTATGTTCAAAAGAAATTAAAATGTCCAAATGAAAAAAGGATATGTTATATAGTATATATAACATACAAAATATGGGTATTAACTGTTTTTTATACTTTTTGATGTTTGAATACAGTTATCTCCATTTTCCCACCACAACTTTCCCTTGCCCTACCCACGCCCACCTCCTACCCTCAATCCCACTCCCCTTGGCTCTGTCCATGGGTCCCTCATTCATGTTCATTTATATTGCTTTCCCTTCTTTCCCACATTGTTTCCCTCTTCCCTCACCTCTGGTTACTGTCAGTTTGTGGTCAATTTCAATGTCTCTGGCTATATTTTGCTTGCCAGTTTGTTCTGTTGATTAGGTTCCACTTATAGGTGAGATGATATTGTATTTGTCTTTCACTGCTTGGCTTACTTCACTTAGACTAACACTTTCCATTTCCATTCATGTTGTCTCGAAGGGTAGGAGCTCCTTCTTTCTTTCTGCTGTGAAGTATTCCATTGTGTGAATGTACCATAGTTTATTGATCCACTCATTTACTGATGAGCACTTAGGCTGCTTCCAACATTTGGTTATTGTAAGTTGTACTGCTATGAACATTGGAGTGCATAGATTCTTCTGAATTGGTGTTTCAGGATTCTTAGGATATAGACCCAGCAGTGGAGTTGCTGGGTCAAAAGGAAGTTCCATTTTTAGTTTTCTGAGGAAATTCCATAGTGTTTTCCACAGTTGACAATGCTGTTTTTCACAGTGAAAATGCACCAGTTTGCATTTTCACCAACAGTACACGAGGGTTGCTTGTTGATTTGTTTATGATGGCCATTCTGACAGGTGTGAAGTGGTATCTCATTGTGATTTTAATTTGCATCTCTCTGATTACTAGTGATGCTGAGCATATGATTATGGGCCCTCTGTATGTCCTCCTTGGAAAAGTGTCTGTTCAGGTCCTTTGCCCATTTTTTAATTGTGTTGTATGTCTTCCCGGAGTAGGGTCATGTGAGTTCTTTATATATTTTGGAGATCAAATCCTTATCTGAGATATCATTGACAAATATATTTCCTATACAGTTGGTTCCCTTTCCATTTTACTGATATTTTATTTAGCCATGCAGAAGCTTTTTATTTTGATGGAGTCCCATTTGTTTGTCCTTTCCTTTGTGTCCCATGCTCTAGGGGACATATCAGTGAAAATATTACTGCATGGAATATCTGAGATTTTCCTGCCTATGTTCTCCTCTAGGCCTTTTATGGTGTCATGACTTATATTTAAGTCTTTTATCCATCTTGTGTTTATTTTTGTGTATGGTGTAAGTTGGTAGTCAAATTTCATTTTTTTGCATGTAGTTATCCAGATCTCCCAACACCATTTCTTGGAGAGGCTATTTTGATTTCATTTTATGTTTTTTGCCCTCTTTGTCAAGTATTAGTTGACCATAGAGACTTGGGTTTATTTCTGGCTCTTAACTCTGTTAACTCTGTTCCATTGATGTATGCATCTGTTCTTATGTCAGTACCAGGCTGTTTTGATTACCGTGGCCTTGTAATATAATTTGATGTCAGGTATGGAGATACCTCCTACTTTGTTCTTCTTTCTTAAAATTGTTGCAGCTATTCGGGGTTAGTTATGGTTCCATATAAATTTTTGAAGTGCTTATTCTATACCTGTGAAATATGTCATTGGTGTTTTAATAGGGATTGTGTTGAATCTATAAATTGCTTTAGATAGTATAGGTTATTAACTGTTTATATTAAGGCTTCTGGTCAATAGCAGGCTATTAGTAGTGAAGTTTTTAGGGAGTCAAAAGTTATATATGGATTTTCAACTGCATAGGTGGTTAGTGCCCCTAACTCTGCATTGTTCAAGAGTAAACTGCAATAACCTTCCCCACCTTATGGAACTATTATTATGTTTAATATTTTTTTATCTTCACCTGAAGATATGCCTATTAATTTCAGAGAAAGGAGAAGGGATAGAAAGGAGCAAGGGGTGTGGGGGAGAGAAACATTGTGAGAGAGAGAAGCCTCAATTGGTTGCCTCCCATATACCTGATGGGGGATCAAACCTGCAACTTAGGCATGTGTCCTGACCAGGAGTCAAACCCAAGACCTTTTGGTTTACTAGGATAACACTCCAACTGAGCCATACTGGCCAGGGCTCTCATGGAATTATTGTGAGAGTTAAATGAGATTATGCTTCAAGAAAGGTAAAAATTTAACTAAAGTGCAAAAACGATTTATGCAGTGTATGGAAAAGGTGCTGTGACTGATTGAATATGTCAAAAGTGGTTGGCAAAGTTTCATGCTGGAGATTTCTTGCTGGACAATGCTCCATGGTTGGGTAGACCTGTTGAAGTTGATAACGATCAACTTGACACGTTAACTGAGAACAATCAACATTATGTCACACAAGAGATGGCATACTCAAATTATCAAAATCAATATTAATGTTATTGGTGAAAATTAAAAATATGTCTTTTATTTTACAGAGAAAGCTATATGGACTTTTTGGTGAACTCAGTATATAAAATGATAATCACTGGGTGATTTTTAATTGTACTAAATAGATGTTTACCTCAGTTTCACAGGTCACTTGTCATTGATGTCTGGCTTCTAGTTGAATTGTATCTGTATAGCAGTCTTGCACAAAATGGGCACTCAATAAGTGTTAATCCTGTGTTTTATTGTGTGTTGGATATAGCTTTTTTAAAAGTCAGTCTTTGTGAACATGTATCTGTGTGGGTGTATACCTCAAGGCACATCTGTGCTTGAGAGCAGTGTTAAAATCCTTCAACTATCTATTTGCAGCTTATTAGAGAGAAGATATTAATTGCTTCTTTAGTATTCCCTTCTCACTTCAAGTGTTCCTCCTCATTTCCTTTCCCCCACCCCAAGAGTGACATATTTAGTTGTCTAAGTTTTAATCATTAAGGTTGTTTCCCACATCGAATGTCTGATAGGACAGAAGCAAGCAAACTCTAGCAAAACTTTTCTTTGTCGATATAAGGGGTCCTGTGTGTACTGTTCCCCTCAGACTCCCCATTAGGAAACCTTGTGATATTTGTTCATATTCTTTTCTAAGGTAAACAGGAACCCCATTTACTTGCTTTCTTCTGATCAAAGATGAGATTGAAAATCAACTTGTTAGTTCACTGCATTGGGGACAAAGGCATAGTTCAAAAAGCTGGAACTAAGTCCAAGACAAAGGATTTGTGATGGGGAATGCATGATACTGAGCAGAAGCACCTTGGAAGGAGAAACTAGAAGTTTTTTAAATCAAAGGGAAGAGAGAGTTTATAGGACACCTGTAATATGAACTGTTAAGAATTTTCATCTGCTCTGGATGGCTATTACCCATTTTCTGAAGACCCATGAAGATAAGGTATCATAATAAGGGATAGCAAATAGGTTCCATCTTATGTGCCAGCTGTGTTTGGTTACAGTAGTAATTGACTGAAACAGTGTTTCTCAGAGTGCGGTCCCCCAACAAGCAACATTAGCATTACCTGGTGAAGTGTTAGACATGCAAATTATTAGTCCTTACCTCAGACCTCTACATCAGAAACTCTGAAATAATCTCTATTTTAAAAAGTCCTCCTGGTGATTCTGAAGCATATCAATGTTTGGAACAACTGGCTTAGAGTACTGTGTTAAGTAGGATTCTAATTGGAGCTCATTAGAGAAAAAAACATAGCAATCCATTAGTGTTGTCCACCATGAACATGGAGGGAGGAGTGGCAGTGAGCAGGCCATGTATTTGTGATCTCACTTGTAGACAGAATTGATAAATATAATGCAAAAGAGTGATTTTAGGAAGCACCCCAGGAAA